AAGTCATGCTGTCACCAAACTTCGTCTAAGACATGAACTGAATAACGAGTAAATGATAACGGTCCATTTTATATCACCGATTTTTTCAAGTGCCAAAGGATTAATTAATCATTCCACATAACAGCAGTGTTCATTTTTGTTGAGAACCTTTTAAAATTCCTTTGGCCAACTTATTATTTACTCTCAGTTTAAAGAAGATCGTTCAAAGATCAGTATTTGCTTGTCCCGCTGTTTTTAAGTAACAGAAACTACATTTATTGTATGATTGCTAATGTATTGATTACGTTTTATTATCCTAAATTCCGAATCTTCGACTCAGAGTCGATGACAATCGTTAGAGTGAAGACTTCAACATCAGTACTTTTAATTATACAACCAAACTTTGGTGTAGATTGGGTTAGGTAGCCATAGTAAAATGATTGAATATTGTTACAACGATCACATGAATATTCAATTTATTCAGTCCAGATTATAAGCGATAAGAAAATGTAATAAATATTTGTTACTAATTAGACAAATGAATAAATTAGTAACTAGGGTAATATTGTTAGGATAGTCTGAAAAATATATCAATAATTATCGTGTTAAGTCTATGGTGGCCTTGGACCTTAAATGTACATTTCCTATTGGTCGATGTTTATTTCACATGTTAAATATTGTGTAAATGTTGTTCTCTATTTTATGGTACGATGTGGTTTGTTTGTTTGGTATATAAATAGAGTATGTCTGAAATAAATTGATTCATAACTCAGAGGCTGTGACTTGTGTTTCTTGACTCAACTGGCTGGGACAGACAGCGAAGCAGGGCCAATCAAGGCACTAGGTCGTCCTCACGTGTTTACGTGTCCACTGTCACCGAATCGATCAATAAAACGCTGCTTCATCTAACCTGCAGCCCACCCGTTACAACAAATATGATTAAAAAATGTTTGACGTTGTAAAAACAAACTTCCTAATTTCAACACAAACCTATTTTATTATGGTAATCAGACAGCTGAACACTTGAGTAAATGTTACACTATGTTTGCAAATCAGATAAATAATCCAGATTATAAAAGCAATTGTTTTTGTAGATTACTTCTGGAAAACGATCTTGCACCATCCCATCATTTTCTATGAGATTTAATTGATTAAAAAATAAATCATCCTGTTAACTATTGCCTAGTGATATCAGATAATTTTCAATTATGAGATATTGGAGGTAAAAGGCGCAAGACAAAAGTACCTGATGTTGACTAAGACATGAAAATGTGATATAAATTTACATTAAGTTGCCTGTTTTATTTAATATTCATGGGAACACGTTAACAATACTATATAAAGCGAAACGAAATCTTATAAAGAAACAAGTTGAAAATATTCATTGAAATTGTACATGTCCCATAATACATTATTACAAATATATTGATTTATTTATAACAATCTGCCCAACTCTCAATTTATTCGAAGTTATCAAGTCAAACCTTGGTTATAATACCTACAGTCCCATAATACTGTTTTATATTCATGAAGTTTGGAAATATGTAGGAGTAAACAAAGGCGAATAACCGCTTATTATGACTTTCAAGTAGTTTCTAGTCAACTTTCCACCAACCATCATATATGCGGTTCAAATGACATTTAATTATTCCGATGTCTGTTATTGTGATTGTCACATTATTCTCATTCTGATGTCGTACGCTTAGAAAATAACTTCCCAATTTCATTAGCATGAAATTATTTATCGATTTAAACATCTTATTCCTTTGTTAATCAAGGTTATTTGATTTACCTTAAATTACAACTTTATTGAATTGAACAGTAGCAGAAAAATTGACCTTACATTCAATCACTTTTATGGACAAAAAATATTCCACTTACTTTTCATTTGTAAATTAAATTTTAAACTCAGTAGTTTACTGTCAACTTACATTTTAACTACATATTATTATTATTAACTAAATTCTGTTGTAAATTACTGGTTGTTCTAAACGGTTTATAAAATATGATGGTTGATGAAAGGGAATTAAAGAATGTGTCTCATGGGAATCGGTAATTAATTTGCGGTATAGCACTTGTCACATTCGTATATCTCCGACATTATTTTATCAAGTTGAAACTTGAATTAGTTTCCTTGCAATTCAGAAAGTTGTACTGTCGAAAAAATGTGTGGAGCTAGAAAGTATAGTTTAGGTACTGAGTTGTTATTTTGCTAACAAAGCGTTATTATTTATCTGTAAGATGACATATTGAAAATCCCAAGGTTGTAAACAGATAGATTTCTTTTCTTGTTACAATTCACTACAATTTTGCTTTCATTTTATGATTTTTATCAGGCGCACTATGGCGTTTTGTAGCTAACGTAACGATTAGTTCAATTGAAATGCCCTCATTAGATTCACGTATAATGAAACTAAATTCAAACAATAGTGTATATCGCCTTAAGGAGGAAAAATATATTTGTAAAATCTCAGCAAGTGGATTTTAAGTAAATTCAATGTTTCTCTCTACAATCTAGTTCAAGCTTTTTTCAAGGAAATATAGTCAAACATCAAAATCATCGAATATAAATAAGTATATCGTTCTCCGGTTAACTATATACTAAGTAGGCCATCCAATCTTGTCAACATTCTTTAGAATGTTTGACTACATATACTTGAAAAAATCTTAAACCAGACTGTAGGGAGAACCTTTGGATCTACTTAAAATTTAGTTGCTGAGACTTTACAAATATATTATTCTTCCCTAATGTTTTACATTAACTAGGCACCCAATTACAATGAAACTGTTCATTCAAGTTTAGACAAACGTTCCTATATAATATGTATTGGCTTCATTAAAACTTTGGCGCAACAACATATGGGGGAATAAGAATGGTTTCTCACTAAAATAACTGATTTACTGAAATACAAAATAACAAACTATCTAAAATGCAATGAAGAATTTTACAAATTAAATGATAAACATTTTATGTCTTTGGTCTCACTGCAACTTTTGTTGTTTAGTTATGTAGGATCATTTGTAAGTCCTTTATTGTTCCGTTAACAACTAGTCTCATTCTGCGTGTTATATTATATTATATTATATACGTCTCCTTGATATTTATTGCATTTAATTATGAATAAATTAACAACATGACCCTGGAATAATTACCATACACTAACATTGTTACTATTTTTTAGCCATGGATATTACAAACAAAGGATCACCATAGTAGTAACAAAATACTGTTTATGTAATTTGTTTAGAACACGGCCAAACTGGCGACATACATAGTGAGATAACATTTGCGTTGTATGATAAAAATTAACTCACAATATCAGCATTTGTTGTCCTTTAAAATCTTATGTAGATCATTTAAAATATGCAGTGAGTCATAAGATCGTATATACCAGTGGAGCTAATCTGTGTTGGGTAGAGACAGGTATCTGCCTCAGTACAATGGAAGATGGTCAAACAATTTCGTGGATTGGTTGAGGTTAGACATTAACACCATTGGATGCCGGCTCAGTGGTTTAGAGAATAAGCGTTCACGTGTGAGACTGAGGGCCCTTGGTTCGAATCCCGCGAGTGAGATCGTGGATGTGCACTGCTGAGGAGTCCCGCAATAGGACGAAATTGCCGTTCAGTGATTCCAGATTTTCAGCGGTGATCTAACATTAATTGGTTTATGATTTCAATCAAAAACTTGTTTTAGGGAGTTGGAGTAATATATATATATATATATTAAAGGAACTGTATTATGCTCCAGACTAATGTTTTCAACGGAAATTTAACTGTGTGTTAAATTTATTTGTTTTTAGAGAGACTTAATGACGTGTTGTTGAGTTTAATAATAAATCTTACAGAATTCTTACCTGTAGTGAACATAAATGGTAACTGTATTCTAATAAAACGTACCTTGAATGTTGTACAAATTTAGGTATTGCCTTACCAATAAAATAAATTACTGGTAGTGAACTTCATGAAGAGAAAGAATAATTTTGTTTTCTGAAACTAGATTCTGCCATCAAAAAAACGATGGAAAAAGTTTATTTATGTTGGATTAGGTAATAAGCAAATGACCTATTTAAGGTTTCACACATGTGAAACAATCCTTTTAAATTTTATTGGGTTACAAACTAGTAATATGGGTGCATTTGTCATCCCTTTAATTCTGAATAGAAGGTAATCCTTTTGGATTTCTTAAAGCATTCCATGTTAAAATCGATTATTCCAAATAGAAAAAATTCTAATTTCAAAATGATGGAGAAAGCCTAGGAGACTGCAAATTTTATGACTCAGTAAACCTATTCTGTGAAGTGTTGATTAGGGATGTCATACAAGTAAAGTTTAGGGTATGTCCTATCCCAAATTAAATACATATGCGGTGGTATTTTAGGAACAAAAACGATCAATCATTTGTAAAATATATCGTTTTTAAGAGTAATACAATCGTACTAGCATATTAATTTAGAGCATGTTTGCCTAATTAAGATAAAAATAATCATACTTAGTGAAGAAGTAACTGTTAAGAAGCATAGAGCCTAGTAATGTGTAACGCCTATACGTGTTATTATGGCTTTTGGACAAAATAATTAATTTGTTCTTCATTCGTTGCCCACACATTTTTTGACTTTATCAATTATTCGCTTATAAACTTGATTATTTATATATATATGTGTGTATTGCTTACTCTATCCATCACATGTTTTAAACTTAGTTTTATATCCATCTATAAATAATGAGTCACCATTTATTAAGTCAAGTTGGCAACCTTACCATCGCTTAGCTTTCCCGCTTCCCATCTTAATGCTATCTGAATAAACGAGTGTATGGAATAAATTCATCCAACTGAATCCGTATTTGACTTTTTATTGCCGCTTTCACTCACACGAGGTTAACCTTGATGTAATATACGAAATTAAGCGAAAGATTTATATTCATAACACATTCATTCGTTCATTCAAACAGGTAGTCAGATCATGAGCCACCAAAGATATACGCTAAACGTATAGATTTTAGTTCTTGATTACCTTCTTATTTCAAATTCACTCACACAAAAGGCATACTACGAAAACAAACAAATATTTTAACATGTAGAAACATCTATAAATACAATAAGTGTTTAAGAGTATTTTTGATATTCAATAGAAAACAAAAAGAACTAATTTTCGGACGTAAGTTTAGTAAATAGTTTATGGAATAATAGTCAACTTTCATCTGTATTTCAGCACAAGATTATTTTAAAAACATAATAGTGTTAAACTAGATAGAAATGTCTAGAAGTAAAGTTAGAATAATAAACATATTATCATAAGCAAAATTATTTCTCTCTTTACCTTAATTGATAATGTTTGTTGCGTGACCTATACACTAATTTAGGCTCAAAATTCTGTTCGCAGTTCGGTCCAGATGACTGAAAATGATTATTTGAAACTTTACTAGTGGGTAATTTTATTAAATTTTTGCTTGTTGTTTCGTTATCACACCAAACGGGGCACCCATTAGTTACTGGTAATAAATCATTCACGACTGAATAGAGAGGCCAACATTGAAGTGATGGACAATATTCAAACTGAAATGTCAGTAATCAGAAAAATATTGATATATGGTTAGAAACGGCAATAAATCGTTATTTTAAAGAGAGCATGAACAAATATTGGTGCAGAATAATATGAATATATTTTAGGTTGTAAGAAGCTGATGAGAACCTAACGAAATAAAATGAATTCATATTATTCTGCACCAATCTTTGTTCTTGCTCTCTTTAAAATAATAAAGGGGACTGGGTGTTTAAATCGTTATTGTTGTGCACCAAACAAAACATAACGGCATTATGGGAGCTTAAGAATTTTAAGAAAATAGTAAGAATAATTGATAATGACATGTAAATCCTATGTACCAATGACGTCGGATTCCCGAATGAATGTCGAGTTTTATTAAAATTATTAGTGATAAGCCGTTACACTTTCTGCTGGCTTTCCCAGTTTTAATTTGTTGATGAAATTCAGCACTGATTATTTCATGAATCGAAAGTGATTAAAATGAAGGAAGTTTCTCACAAAAAGTCACAATGAAGATTAATATGCAACTCTGCAAAAATAAATGTTACACATTCTTGCACATATCCATTTTGGTTGAGATCATGAATTAATTGATGTTAGCCCACCGTTGGAAACCTGGAAGCACTGGACGGCAATTTCGTCCTATTGTGGGACGCCTCAGCAGTGCGCATCCACGATCCCACGAGTGGGATTCGAACCCAGGGTCTTCGGTCTCGCGCGCGAACGCTTAACCAACTGGACCACTGAGCCGGCATCCAATGGTGATAGTTTCGCGCGCGAGACCGAAGGCCCTGGGTTCGAATCCCGCTCGCGGGATCGTGGATGCGCACTGCTGAGGCGTCCCACAATAGGACGAAATTGCCGTCCAGTGCTTCCAGGTTTCCAACGGTGGTCTAACATCAATTAATTCATGATCTCAACCAAAACTTAACAATCTCCACAACCCCCATACTGACATATCCATTTATTTTACAGTAAGTCAGAATAATGGCATGATAAGACAATTAAGTCAATAACTCCACGAACACAGGTGAGTGTACTAATGTGGAAGTCAGAAATTGATTACTTAAACTGTGATCGTAGTTTATCTGCTATGATGTATTGTTAGATTGTAAAAAGAAAATACATTTATTCCAACATTTAATAAGCCGGAGTGTAATGCAAGGAAAAGTTCACATCTATTTCCTAAACGTCTTAGGAGATTTCACCATACATTACAAGAAACTAGGTTAATTCACACAAAAAGGATTATGTGGATGGTTAGAATCTATTTTAATCTTATTTTCTTTAATTTCTACATGATTCACATTTTATTGATCTAGTGTATTTTGTCATTCCAGTGTTGCCTTATTTTCAATATTCTGTAACTCAATTTAAGATCAATAGTATGAGTCGATTACAGTTATTGTCATAACTGAAACATATACTTACTCAAGTAAAGAGTCTGATATGAAAGTGATAAAAATGATCAAACATCCCATAATCTTCACTGTTTTTTTAAAAATAATGTTAAAAACGTGGTACGTTCCCAAATGGCAATAAAAATCTCGAAATAATTGAGAATCTTAAGCGACAAGAATAACAGTTATATTCCTTCTCTAAACCGGAAAGAAAACTAGAAATCGGAACAATTTTTATTGCCTTTCGATTTGTAATTTCAAGTAAACACAGTAGTCTCGAGTATTGCTCTTCTCTTTAAGAATAGGTAGTAAAATTTCCAGACCAAATAACATAAGGACTTACTGAGTCTTTGGGACAAATTTCAAATAATTTCATGATGACTTGCGGATATATCGTAAGTAAGGGTTAAAACCAAAAATGACCTCGAATGATTACTAAATCGATCACAAGTCAGATTACAGTACAAATCTATTTTCAGTTCTCAAAATTATTCTACAACGTATCGAGATTTGACAGAGATTTTAAAGCATTCTGGTGTTGATTGAGAGACAGGGAACACAAACGTAGCGATAGAACTATAAATTTGGTAGACAGAACACTAAGTGATCAATAGATCTATCCAAACAAATCCACTCTATCACTCGATAGAATTAAGGAAAAATAACTACAAGGTTTGATTTCGAATCGGAGCATAAGGGAATTAAAATATATATCAGGTCAGAGGCGACGATACGAGAAAGTACTAAAGAAATTCCATGTTAACCAAATATAATGTTAATTTCTTAGAGAGAAAAGTTCTTATAGCTCATTTCTTTGAAAAGTGTGTGTTGACGATTTTATAAATAAATGCAACCAAATTTAACAAATAAACCATCTAGCTAGAAAATGAGGGAAATTTTAAAGACTTCTATTTAAGCAACGAATGTTTCCCATCATCTAATTTTAACAGAATTTAACATCTGTACATGTTTAATTTTGAAATAAATGTAACGGTTTTTACGAAAGGAAAGCATTATTGATTTGGACTACAAAAGAAATAGTGAATGATACTGTCTTACTTGAACATCCGCTCCATGTCTGAACTGTTGAAAAGTCAACGGTTGAATGTGTAAATCTGACTGAAGGCTATTTTTATATAATTTAAATCTACCAAATCCATCAGCAGGATAACCTGGAGCTGATTGAAATGGATAACTATTTGGAAGAAATGTTTTATTTTTTAACCATTTTCTGCATTCTGGTGTCATATATTGTTCTAATACAATTCGTTGATAAGTATTTGGTGAAATCCAAACAGCTTTTTGCTTTGGAACATAAATATGACCAACACGAGTGTTCGAACTAGCTAATTCAACCAAAAGTTTTTGATCATCTGTGAAATGTTTAGTTTTAGTTACTTTAAACAAAAAATAAACAAGTTAATATAATGATCAAAACAGTTGCACTTTTTAGAAATCTATTCAAATTAAATAAAAACAGTCAGACAGAAGTGGATCGATAAAACTGTTGATAAAAATAATCTTTAATTCATTTAACATGAACATTCTTCCTTGTATGCTGTAATGAATGACACTTACCTATCTAGTTTGAATATGATAAAAAAAATAGCTAATTTTATATCATCTTTCACTGGAAACTTTTTGAAAATTTAAGGGGTTACAGTAACATACAACATGAAATTAATTTCACTAAGTCAAATTAATATGTTGTGATGTGCATCGGATAAAGCTCGTTTGATCAGATTTCTAAAGCATTGGTTATCAGTTAATCATGATGTTAGATTTGATAGTTTAAAGTTTGATCTGTTTTCCAATGCAATCTAATAACCAATTCATTTCAGTTTCATATATAGCTTTCGACCAAATATTTACAAAATATTCCTTTGCCTTTATTCTTAGTATCTCTATCGTGTGTAGTGACATGTATTAATTACTTTTTCTTTAGAGTTTCATTTTCTAGAACTTTTTCAGATAGTGATATTAAGTCAAGTATTAATAAGGTCAGTGTCCAACTATCTAGAAATCAGTTAGCACTGATTAGGAACTTATACACTTGTTAGTTACGGAAATACTAAGTCGAGAAGTTCTAATCTAAAACTTATTGTATTTCCAATATAAATTTGTCAGGAAATGTTTCATTAATCAACGTAAATCACAAATTTTATGGTTACAAAATGGATAAATATTTATCTTTACAAAGCACTTTATAAAAAAAGTGAAAAGGTTTGTTAATGTACCTAAATCAATATCACCCTGGCAGCGGAAGAGTGCATATTGGTAGGTATTGATTTTTGTATCAATACTAATTACGTCTTATTGATCTAGGTTTCTTGACGAGAACATTTCGATAAGGCTTGTATCAATAGAATTCTAAAGAGTATTTAGTATAGTTAGTTGTTTAGAGACTTTTTATTGTTTGAAAGTGTCGGGATATATTTTATTGAATTTTGTGCATACTGAAATTTGATAACAGTGATATAAAATAGGTAACCTAACTAGTTAGACAATATCGCTTCATAACTAGGTATGTATGCTTAAAGATTTATGGTGGTCATGCAACTCAAATGTAAATTCTTGTTCGATTAAGTATTATCATCAAAGTTTAATTGCTAAGTGAATAATTTAGGACAGTTAATCAGTACTAACACCTACACTGTTTTTCTAAATTTGCACTTTTAGTATTGTATAGTTGATTATTGTATCTATTTTACAGCTAGCCTTACATAAAGCTGAGTTAATCTAAAAATGTATTTGTGATATAAGATCTGATCGTTATACTATAGCTGACCGAAACGGTGGACTGCATTGAAACAAGGAACATTCATAAGATAAATGTACCCCATTTACGTCTAACTTAACAATAAGAATCTGTGTAACATATCAAAATCCTTAGAAAATTTCTGTACTTCACGATGCCCTACTTTCACTGGTCGAAACATTTAATTATGAATTAACTTGAAAACTTAAAAAATGTATTCATGTGTTCACTGAAATATTGCTACAATATAAAATCGACTTTATTCACAAAAGTAGTAAAGTAACACATATGTGATTTAGTCACAGTTATGAACATTAGATTGAAAATCAGAGATCTAAAACAGGATTTATTTAGTTTATATGTGATAGCAGCTTATACTGCTAGTACGCCTAATGAGTAATTAGATATCAAAGCCTCAAAAAGAACCGACAGCAATTAACTCGTCATTTTCTAACTCGACTCTGATTCGCAAATGAGTAAATTAGCTTAGCAGTAACGTCTCTGATCTTGAAGCTGAATGGTACATCAAAGGGAAGCATCAGTTCATTCGATACTTCAGAAACCCTGTTGTGATATGTGCTAACTTGCACGAAGCCTAGGTCTACGATTTCTTGTCGACCGCATGTATTCAACTAAGACGTAACAATGAATTTGTTGAGAAACGTTTTTGTAATCTTAATTTAATGTGAGTTGAAAAACGTATGTCAAATGCACAGTGAAGTGGATAAAATCATACTGAATCCCTACACATGTTTGAAGAAATAAAAGTAAAATGGAACCTACACTTGTCAGCTCTTTGTTCTCGACCAGAAACTACGATAGCTGCATAGTAACGGAGATTCTCAAAACTAGATGGTTTTTCCACATTAAGGATGGGACACTTTGGAAAGGGCCAACTGTAGGGTACAAGAACACAATCACCTGGTTCAATTGAGTGTCTGATAGCGTGCTCTAAGTCAATGATTTCTGTTATATCAAGCCATTCATAATGAAATGTATCCGAATTCGAGGTAGTTGATCTGGATTTTCGCAAATCAAAGCTTGTTAAATTGTGTATAGGACCGAATCGTATAAAAACTTGATCCACAGGTAGATGGGATTTCTTAAAAAATAACACAATAGATCGAATGTGTAGAATGACTTATGGGGAGAATAAGTGTGCTAAACTTTATTTTCAGTGTCTTTTTCATACGTTTTTATATTGTTTAAGAGAGTCTATTCGTGGTGCCTAGAACCTAAGAACAAATGGTCAAATAGGTAGTGTATGAACGGGAAATAATGTGAACGAATCATCTTAACAAACTCAATGAGTTTGTAGGTATTAATGCCAGGGTTAAACTTGATAGATTCAAATAAATTGAGCACTGAGGAGAAAGAAGTGGTTACCATTAAGTCATGAAACGTCAGAAATACAACTTTTCTACTTATTGGAATATAACAAAAAAATTCTAATTATCTTAACAAACTATTTTTGCGAACAGTCATCAAAATCTAAACTCTATAGTCAACCTAGGTATCATAATTGAGATTTGACTTGATAATTTCTAATAAATAAAGCATTGGGTAGATTTTTGATAATAAAAGACGTATTTATAAGATTTAAACGAGCAAAAAATTCATATTTTCTGACGTTTCGTGATTAAGTGTAAGACACCTCTTCAGCGAACATATAGATAAATAAGTCAAATTAAGACTTTTTTAGATAGTTCAGAGGAATATTTAGTACGACCAATGAAAAACAGATTTGACCAACTCTATCTCATATCACTCCGATCAAGGTTATTTATCAAGACATAGTTGTGTATTTAGGTTTATGTTATTGGGTGTGGAAAATGCTACATTTGTCATGTGAAAAGGTAGAGTTGGGTATGTATGATGATAGTATGAGATGTAGATAGAATTGGAAATAGTAGCTCGGATAGATGGTTAAAGTAGGATGGATAGTAAGATGTTTTTTTCGACCGAGGCCAGTACGATATAACAATACATGAAAAGCTTCAGCTACTCGCCTTTTTTTGTAAGTGGACTGTCTTTTAATATTATTTTGATATCATCACGGTGGTTATTGAAGATGGCATCCACTGCTATTCGTGATCTAATTAGGAGTCTTTCAAGTTTTACAGGATTATTAGGTGGTTTTTTGTGTACCTAGGACTTTTGACTCGAATCAAGATTTCACGAAATGACTCTTCAATACAGAAGGCATCACAGTCGACACATCCTAATTCGTAGACGCAATTCTATGTTTACAAAAAGATGATTTTACCTTTTATATAAACTATAGCATTTTGTTATGTCTTTTACCCCACCAAATATCACGTGACTAAATCGCCAATTAGAAAACAGACTCATAGGACTTTGGGATTGTGTCATACCAATGACGCGTTAAGCAGCACGAGTAGCCTAGGATCAACTCTGAGTCCTTGTTGGTTCTTCTTTCCTTGCTCTGTCTGTTGAGTCCAAAACACAATCTCATCTTCCACTGTATGAGTCATGTATTTCAGACATACACAGTTTATATACAAGCAAACCAAACCTCATCGTACCACAAAAAAAATAACAAGTATACAGGATCAAGTTAAAAGTGACTGAGAGTGTGAGAGACTGTAACTAATATATTGAGAACAACTTGAGAGTAGTAAATCGTGTAACAAGTCATTAGATCAGATAAAAGCCTATGAAATATGAATATACATATAATCTAGCTACTTAATAGTGATCCAATAGGAAGATTTGTAATAAAATTCGATAAATAACTTCTAGCAGTTACCATTCTTTTATTCTTTGTTGAGATGTGACAATTTCAAAGGGCGTTATCTGTTTCGTAGCATGCTTAAATTCTATATTATTTTAAGACTCTGAAGTTCTTTCGTTGTACCATGGAGGTATGGGTAAATTACGGTGCCAATCTACAATATTTGATTCAAACTACTACTACATTTTCAATAATATTTATAGGGGAATTATTAAATTCTAAGATGCTAAAAATAATCTTTTGTTTGTTTTGTCTATCTTCTTCATGTATTTGATCTTCTAAAAAGAAGTAATCAACCCTTCCAAATACGAGAATGTTTGTGCCCAGTTATTTCCATCCGGTTTTAATCTTTTCCCTCTTCAGGATTTACAGATAAGTATATTTTATGTACAGGTAAACTCTACTTACGACCAAAGTATTTGCAAAAGTGATATGAATAACAGCATAGTAATTATTACAGTCATTGGCAAAGTTATTGAAAGTATGCTGAGTATCAAACCAGTCACTCCTCTCTCCGCATAATAGTGAGGTTGGCATATAGCTTTCAAGGAAAAGTGCTTCCATATTCATGAAAGGCTACTATCAGAGCAGGAACAATAGAATGTTGACCCACATATGACAGAATAACACAAGATGGTCTTCTCTAAATTCAAGGTTGGGAATACCAAATTCAATCATCAACATTAGAACACATGTTTAATGTCTTACAGTCATACACTTAATTTATAGTACTTAGCGTATCGATACAAGTAGTAAGGACCTTGACATTGTCCTTTGCAAAGATCGAATCATTAGTGACATAGAATATATTAATTTTCCGAATGACCCAAATCTAGTCTTATTTTAGTAACTCTGGTTATTTTTGACAAATAAATACTGGAAAATTTTGAACTTCTGAAGCTATCATATGTAAAAGGAATTCCTTAACTTTGATATTCATTAATTCAAAAAATCTTTGACTTAGTTTTACTGGATGTTTACTGGAATCAGTGAAATAGCAAAGAATAAAAAAGTAATTTTAGTAAGAAATAAATGAGATGTCTCTAGTAGTCGAGTTTCGGGCATGCATTCTTTTTTATTTTGGACTAGTCAGTTGGATGTACCAATATTCATAAAATCTCAGTCAAAAATATCAACGAGACAAGTCAATCCACTTCAGATTAAAAAACTCTGGTTTTGGCTTTATCCTAGTAACTCTTCTTATAAAGTGCATTGGTCAAATGTCGGATGTGCATGTAATCTAAATAAATTTCTGAAGATATTAGTTAAATAAAAAAACATTGAAGTTGGCTGCGCTGCATTAACACAACAGAATACAAAAAGTGGTAATAAGAACAAAAACTTCTGATTTACAAGTTACTTACGACAGTTTGAACTGACCCAAGGTAGTAATGACCGTCTGATGATCTCCTTGCTAGCACCTTTTTGTTGTCAAGGAGACTTGATTTTTGACCGTAATCATCAGTAAACCAGTTAAATAAACATTTTCTTGAGTTCGCTTCGTCTTTAGCTGACTCATAAATTCTACGATTTAAATCATTTACTAGTTTTTCATTCACAAATACACGTGACCACAAATGAGGATGAATACAACAATCGGAGGTACTGAAAGAATTGGGGCACGTTTGTGGTCTAAAATCTTTAAAAGGAGCCAACAATATCAACTGTGTTTGAAAACTTTATTTGATGCTGAAGTTTACTATTGAATAGAGTTCAGAAAAAATGAGACAAAATAGATCTCATATCACATTCTAAGGCTTTCCACAGTATTCAGAGATCCGATATAAAGTATATATTTAGCCAGACATTTTAGCAAATAGAAAGAAACTAAATAGTAAGTGTCTCTTTTTGATGAAATTCGAAATTCATAATGATTTGCTTATTAAAACTTTAGAAAGCGCTATATAAATAATATTTAACTATAAAAACTATTTTGACGTTTCGGACTGATTGAGTTTATATCTAAAAATACATAGACAGACTCATGGTAATGTAATTGTGCAATAAAAAGCTTAAAATGTTATATTTAATACATTAGGTCTCGATAAAATAAAGCACGTATACATATATGCATAATTTCTTAAAACAACTGTATTTATTTTTCCTGTTTCTAACTTTCGTTGGGCACTTTAATTGTGAAATTGGTAAAGAGTGCGTAGTGTTTATAAATATTGTGTAGGAAATATTCTGACTCACTAATATATTTGAGGAGATCGATGCTCTTCCGATTTAATTAGTTACGTTTATGGAGAAAGCAAAGATTTATTAACTTAATTCTAAAACGTTTTGGATAGTAGTTCCCATTTTGTTTAACCAAAAGCTGAAGCTTTTACAACTTAGAAGAGGGATGGATCTAAAATCTTCCGAGCTCATACGCTATAAATATGACGATTTAAATGAACACCTTTACTTCTGACTTCAACTATTCTCGTTTGGTAGATTAATCTGGTTTCATACTGTTATCTTTTGATGAGCTCTCAGATGTCTTATAACATTATTTCAAAGCAATTGTATTAGCGTAAGCTGTGCGGTTTCAGAAATTCAATTTAATATCAATCAAGATATCTAAAAAATATTATATTTCTTGCTGTTATTTATTTTAGATTATAAAGGGATACTACGATAGTGATACCTGTAGTGTGGAACAACTCGATTTCACACTAGAGATGTTTGCTGATAAAGGTAGATAAGTTTGTTCTAACAAAAACAGTTTTGAGTAAATCACGGACTTTTGATAAATACTTGATGTTAATTTTTACTTGATTTTCCAAAGTGGAGCTTATTGTTTTGAAAAAGCTCTGCAACTACATGAATTACGGTGTAAGTATAGAACATGGCAGCCTTATTTACATAAAAGCTATATTTAAAACAGTTAAAACATGACTAAAATTCGTATTTATTCTTTCTAAGTAAGTATACTATTTAGATTACAAGTGCACAACACAAATTACCCATTTTTACTTTTGCTTTATTGTGATAGCTTCGTCCAAATAACAATTTCGAGATGAAAATAGTTAAATGACTTTTGATAATCGAAATAAAGTTTACAGAACCCAAACTCTACCCAAATATTAAAAATTATACAATTATTTGTCAGATAAAGTATCAAACAAAAACAATCTTTCTTTTAACCACGGAAAATTGTTCCAAACAGCTTGATAACGTCTTAAACATCGGTTTTTTTTAGATAAAAACTATTTCTATTTACATATACCAACTATTACTTACATCTATCAGTAAATTCAGAAGAAGCTGACAGTGTTGGTTTCATTAACACAGGCTCATGCTCTATAGAATCACTCACAACGTAAACTTTTCCACAGGGTAATTTAATGGGCTGTGAATGATTAATAAATGACAACATATGAATTTGTATTTCCTTTGATCGTTTTGATGTTTTCATATGATTAGAACCACGTTGGTGTTTGCCCAGTAACCACGTGGTGCAGCCATTTGAGCATGTTTTGACAAATGAACATAATCGAACGATAGCAAATGTTCCAGATGCTAACTGAGAAATACTTTTAAGGATTTCAACTCCAAAGGCATCAGTTTCAGAAAATGGTACATGTTCGTTAACACCAGTCTGTGAAAGTAAGATAAATTGAAGTGATATTAAATGCAATGATACTTAGAGTTCTTCGTGATTAGAATAACAGAAACCGTACCATTAAAGCAACACATTAAAATAATTATGGGAATGAATCTATGTCCATTAAAATCAGACGTTTTGGACTGAAAGTTTTATAGTTACGTGAAAAACACCACAACATAAAAAATTGTATGAAAGTCTGAAGGTATATTTGTGTCGCTTTTCGTGAGATTACTTCAGCGTGAAAAATTAGCTGTAGGACAAAATTTGAGACAAAACGACGTCTTTTGTTTCTGTATTGTTTTCCAACTTTGCTTTCAACAATTTTAAATTGTGTGTGAGTGAAAGTTGGGGCAACAAAGCATGGGGTCCCCACACAATAAAACGCAGCATAGTGCAATGTAATTTTGATGAATTAGAAAAAGTCAGGCCTATTAGCCGTATATACGGCTGGAATAAGTAAGTTTATTGGAAACTCTGTCTCTTTAAAATGAGTGAAGTGATGTCGTTGCTCAAAATCGCCTTTGTTCAGACTGCAAGGTCGAGGTAACAGACAGAATCTTCAGAAGTAGTTTCTAGTGTAATTTTAAAACCTGGATTTAAGCAAAAAGACTTCGTGTTTGACGTAGAGTGCAAGGCAATGTTCCTAATGTTTTTAAAAGAGAAATATCAGACCGCTTTGAGACTTTCTCGTGCCTTACTATAGTCTGAAAAGTTGGTTTGTAACAACAACATTGACTATATGTAAAACAACCATCGTGATTTAATTTATATAATCTAACTTTCCAATTTGAATATAATATATAAGGATATTTCACATGAAATTTAACAAGACTTAAGAGCTGATCATATGAACACCTGCCGTAGTTTTAAAACGTGCCTTTTTTTGATAATCAATTATTTATTCACAAACTTCCAAATGTGAACTATACAGTCACTTGTATTGAATTAAACATAGTTGAGTGCTGTTAAAAATGGAAGAAAATAGGTTAACCTACTTTTTCAGAAACTATAAGTCTGATGTGAACAGATGTCTTGGTACTGAAGTGTGTTATTTTATCCGGTGAACAACTGTCGTCCCCAAATTTGTAGAGAATTGTTGTTGGGACAAACAAATAGATTTCAAAAGCTTTGTCTGAAGTGAACTGATTAAAATCAAAGTTCAGGGCTGTTTCAGGTTTTTCCAAATGTTCAAATGCCTTGACCCACCTAAGGGAAGCGCATATATTTTTTTCACTACATATTATGAATTCTTCGCAAAACTTTGTAGGGTTCTGAAAATTGAATCAGCAATTGGATTACCAAAACGAAAAGACATACTGTGACTGATAAGGCAATATTAAAGCGATACTTTTTGTTGTGAGTAAGTTTAAGTAGTGATAATTTTAGCAAATTCAGTAAATAGTAATTATGTATCAATTCGTCGACTATCCAAATCATTATAGTGTATCCAGAAATAGGCCATAGTACGCTCTCCTTGTAGCAACCCATAAGAATTTTGATGTCTATGCAAAATAGAATCTGACTATTAACGTCTATTAGGATGTCAAAACCAATCTAGACTTCTTGCATTACTGATATTTCACAATCACCAAATCTACGTTTGGTATGATAGGATTCTGAACGTCGGACAGATATGATATCAACATCAAAGACACTGGGTCAATCTTCTTAGTTTTCAGAAAGAGGATTATGATTTTGAAAACTGACAGCTAAAAGTTTAATTAGCTGAAATACACTCGAGACATATCTGCAATAACAAGTAAACAGATTCAAATAATATGTGTGGCAGACAATTGAGATAAACAACGGAAATTACGTATAACCGATTCTGAAATCCGAAAGGCACAGATTGATTCGTGTCTATGTGAGATATGTTTACGTTCTGATATTTAATAAATCTGACGAAATGAACTATTCGGTAGACTTACAATAGTAGCCTTGCTCATCGGAAAGTGATTCTGTGGCTTACATCTATGTAAGTGTATACACGTCAGTGAAGTTAATGGCTTCATGTGATTACAACACCCGATCTTAATACTTGCAATTAACTCTACTACCTGAAGGTCCTCTTTAGGTTGGAGGTAAACCAGCCCAACCATCATGAAAAACCTCTTTTCCTGTGAGTTGTTAATTAATTTCTTTTTGGTTTATCTGTCTCTGCTTCCATTTAAATATAATATTCCTCCAACTATTACATACTTGGAGCTTTATGTTTTCTGATCTACTGTTCTCGGAAAGTTTTAATGTAAGTATCTGGTCCTTTGATTTTTAGACTATTTTTGCCACAGTAGTGTTTATGTATGTTTACGTGTGCACTTCAAACTGACAGCTCATCTAGCGTTTTACACCACTGTGGTGTAGTACTGATCTATTGAGGTGAAAATTATGTTAAATACGACGATGGACTAGAAACAACAGAACCAGGTATTGCCAGTGAACAAATAACTTGTAACCGATGGATCTGCAGATGAACAAAGAAGAAGACAACGATGGTTAGATGTAAGGGTTCGTTTGGCTGTATGTGGAAAAAGAGGAACATGACGCTCCCTAGAGGGCTATCTAGACTATTAAGACGTTTTATCTGGCTTTGGCTTTATCTTTTGATCATTTATGACCGAGCTTTGAATCAGTATCAGATCCCATCGAAACGAATAATCGGAAGGTGCTTATTATCACTATAGACATGTGAAGTCACTATTAAATACGGATCGAATTACAGATCCACTGTCCATGGAGTCATAATTAAATCAATTTTACGTTGATTTACGTACAAGCTGGGTTGTTTAATCTATAAAATCAATGAAAACAAAGGGCAGTGGATTCATGAAGATGTACCAGAGATTTAATGATTGGGTTTGTGTTAGTAACGTACTATGGGCACGGTTCTTACGATCTATTCCAAGACCGGGACCACGTCGATGTTGTGACTTTTGAAAGTGTACATGCAGTATGAACCTGACATTACTGTGTTACAATTCTGGTTCTACTAATTATTCATACAATACAACTGTTTAAGAGTGTTATAGTTGTTACGAAGAAAATATAAAAGGCTGTGAACTTGAAAGACGCGTTTTCTAAGTCTATTCCAGGTGTACAAAGCTCCACAGCTGTGCACAGTGAACGTGATGATAAATAGAATGGGTTCAGATAAAGATTGAAAACCCGAAGTTGAAAATAGTACGGCCTTTTATTAAAACCGAAAGTACATCAAAAGGGAGTAGTGTTCAGAAACGCATATAGATATATCATATTTTGTCTATTGTTTTCTCTATTACTTTCATCATTTTTATTTAAATGACGGCCACTAGGTTATAATGTAAAAGTCTAATTTAGCATGCAACCGGTTATCTTAGTACAATAGCGAATTCAACATAAGTTTGGGAACATTAGTCTGAGTGCCGGGTGTAGCAGAAAAACCTCAGTATTACTGATTACTTGCCTCGTCCTCAGTCATAAAGAGCCTGAAACAAACAAAATTTGATGCCCACGAACAGGAGTGGATTGAATACATCACCTTCATCATCAATGCTTTGTGATCAATAGCTCCACCCTCCCTTCTCATTATGACTCATTAGCGGTTTCCTCATTGTAACGACCAAACTGCCAATATTCGGTTTGAACGCAGGACTGACGAACAAAAATTTATTCGAATAGGACAGACTACGTTCTTCCGTATAGCTTACAAAGCGTTTTAGAGACATTCGTATTAAATTATATCAGAACGCAAACTCTGTGCTCAATTTAAACGTTTCTAATTTGAGAAATAGAACACATTATATCAGAAATACGAAATACCTCAAACGGTACATCCTGTGCTATACAGTCAGAAGTTTCTTTAATGCAAAGTAGTATGCTAAACAATGAAAGAAAGAGTTAATAAAATAGGGTTTGATACCTGAGAATCAATAAAGTATTCCCAACAAGATGGGATGAAGTATCTGTCTACAGGGATTCCAGCAATCCACCCAAGCAGACAGTCAAAAGGTTAACAGTCACACACTGAATCATGCCGTGACCTTGAGCTCAGTGAAACACGACCTTACTCTCAATAGTCCGGCAGCATGCAATAGAACATTAGGTAACAAAAGATAGGTCTTTAATCAAAACCACGTTATAAGTGCTCAGATGAGGAAGACTGAGGAACAAAAGGTGTGGTTAAACGAGATCTGAACAAAGGTTAAAGTACAGGACAGGGGGAAGAAACAGATAAATGACAGTACTGTCTAAAAAACAGCTGCGGAGGGATTTTCATCGCTCTTTCCGTTACACTCACACAGCGGTACAAATGTCGCGAGCATAGCAGTGGGTCTGGGTTGGAACGCCCACAAATGAAGCTGTTTAGGTGAGAAACTAAAACAAAGGTAAATATCACAGATATAGGTATGGCAAGTGATTTACATAGATTTGTCTTGATGATACTGATCAAGTACCATTCTGAAAGTATTTCATAAATCTGAATCACTTTATTTATGCTGGAAATACTGCTACCTCAACCTGGTAACCGTCTATAAGAATCTGTAATACTCGTACTAATCATAATGAGCTACATAAAACGAGTTTGTAGCATTAGGTATTATTTCGAATTTCGAACAGACCAATTAAGCTAGCTTTTTTGTGTCATCATGTACATATATATTCGACTTATTTAAACTGCTCATGTATTAGAGTGTTTTCTTGCTTGATTATCACTTGTGCCATTTGTCACATATCTTTAACATTTTTACCTGGCTGCAAAAGTTGGATAGCGCTGATAATTTTCCCCTTGTTTCAGTTCTTGCCGTCTCTTTGAGTAAGTGAACATCTGAAATAAGTTCTCCCAACTCTATTCGAATATGGCTCATATTACCAACGTCACTTAATGTAGTTAGATAATGTACAACGCAAGAAATTAGACAGGAAATTTATACTTCGTGGTCCATTCACCGCCTTTCATAATGAAGTCAATGGATTCAAGACAAGATCAGAAACATCGCTGAAGTAGTTACACTAACTTATGTCACGGCAGTAGTTAATAGAACTGGTTATATATGAAAACTCGTGATATTGAGACAAGAAAAACCAGAAATTATATTAGAGCCGTAATTGCACTAGTATTTTAATAACCATAAAATTATCACAAACACTAAGGGAGTGACAATGTTTTGCCTGAGACGCGTTTGTAATTGTAAAATAACAACCCAATCAAATCAGGGACGCGTAGTTCTGTGATCTGGTGCGGATGAGTGATCAAGTCGGCATCAATGTTAAAGACTTACAGAACGATTAACTTTGGTGGTAGTTTTACTAGAATTATTTTACTCCGGAATTTTAATGTCACAAACTCGTAATAATTTTTAAGTAGGTCTGAAGTCAAATGTTCTAAAATAGTGTTGTGAGCCAAAATTTGTACGGTATTTTTTGTACTCCGAATATTTTTAGCCCATATGAATAAGATGAATAAGTAGGCATGAATTGTTATGTCATAATTTTTACGGGTTATGATTCCGGGTTATTCTAACACCTGTACTCACGACAACCGATAGGATTGAGTTACTGAACGTAGCGGTTGCGTAGCGAAAATGATTATATAGTCTCATGGATTCTCTTACATCCGTACAGTTGTTGATTTACTTTCGCGATTGGTTCAAACAATGTTTCACGAGCAAGTATATGGTATGATTCCTAATTATACCACGCGTTAGTCTTTTGGTACGAGAATTCAAAGTTTGCTTCTCAATTCTTTATCATAAACATATAACTACACGCATTTTTGTTTAAATACAGCTTTATATGTCTGTGAAGTAGTTTTTATGTTGAAAGCTACCGTACTTTTCGCATGTAATCTACTTCCCGAAAATCATGCCTTGTGGTCGGAAGGTGAAAGCTCAGATATTACACAGAGTTAAAATGAATAATGTTGTGATATGTAGTTTCAGTCCAGCTAAAACTTTCGTGTTTGACATTTCTTTCGTACAGGATAATGAATAGTGAGGTAAAACATGGAGCAAGAAGTTGTCGGTTACGAGGTATAATTAACTGTAAAAAACGGGTGAAAACACATATCACTGAAATAAGAAGACCATTTGATATTTTATACTACCAAACTTTTGTCACCGATGTATATTCTTCATCGTCTAGCCTAAATTAAAGTGGACTTTGTGTACCTGCAAGTGATACCGTTGTAGCGAGGTGTTTAGTCGCGATTGACTATGAACACCACTTCAAAGGAACGCGTGCCAAATAAATCCATAAAATCCCGCGGAAGCGAAATATCAGAAGGCAGTTACAGAACACAACCGAATTCGCGCAAGGTCACAATCAAAGTGAGTATAATGGATGTTTTTAGCACAGTTAAACAAAAAGTACATTAAACAGTCACTGGTACAATTGGTTATAATAATAATTCTTTTCAATAAACCAATCGTGTTCTCGTGATAAAAGTGAGTCACTACACCGTAAATAATATAATGCACTAAAGAATACCCAAGCTAGACAAAAGAGTTAATTGT